AATCTATTTGCACTGACCTAATTGCTTTCTGTCCTTATTCCCATCTGTCTGTGCCTACTATGTATTCAAACTAGATTTTCTGGACTCCTTTGCCAGCTGTCTTCCAGTTAGTTTCTCTCAGTGGGAAGCATTTGCAGGAAAATATAAGTGGGAGGAGGGAAGAAGTAACTCTCTTCTGCTTCTATTTTGTTTGGGACCTTCTTTGGCAGAGATGATGGTACTGTTGATGGGGTTGGGGATAAAGGCTGCATCAGCTATGGTCTGTAAGTATCTGTTTCTGGTTTGTTTGTTTTTGCGTTTTTAAGAACAACTGTGCTCATACTTTAAAGACACTTAGCAGCATATGGATTTGTTCATCTTAACAGCATATTTCAATCATCTCCAGTCATCTGTTTCAAATGGGTGACCCTCTGATGGTAGTGTTGGTGTCTACAATTTGGCCAAGTGGAGACACTTACAGATGGAGCTGTGGCTGGGGGTGGCACCCATGGAGACACAGGGAGAAGCAGGGCAGCAGGTGACCATGGGTCAGCACAGAGTTCTGTTGCAGGGGTTCTTCCCAGCTGTTAGTCTGTGGAATCTGACTGAAGTGGAAGTTTTTTTTAGTGACCCATATAGCTGCTCAAATGTGGGGAAACTCAACTAATAGGCACATAAGTCTTTGGAGCTTAGGAGTACTTTTCAAATAAACAAATGGTCATAAAACTAACAGCTGATTATAAAATAGGCAGAGGATCTGAATAGTATTTCTCCCAGAAGAAAAGACATAAAGATGAAAAGATAGTTAGCATCCCTTATTATTAATGAGATGCAAAGATATTATTAATGAATTGCAAATCTAACCACAAGGAACAGCATAAAGCCCTATGCCCTCTTAGAATGGCTATTCTCAAAAATACAACAAACAAGTGTTGGCAAATATTTGGAGAAAAGGGAACCCTCCTGCACTGTTGGCGTGAATGTAATTGGTGCAGCCACTATTGTAGACAGTATCAAGATTCTCCCAAAAGTAATAGAAATGCCACATGATCTAGCTGTTCCACCTTAAGGTATCACTTGAAGAATATGAAAACACTGATTTGGAGCATGATGTAAACTCCTATGATCTCTGCAGCATTAGTCTCGATGGCTAAGCTATAGAAACAATACAAATGTCTGTGACATTATATAAAGAAAATGCGGTATACACAATGGAATACTACTCAACTGTTAGAAAAGAAAATCCTGCCTAGAGAATATTGCACTAAGGAAATAAGTCAGATGGAGAGGCTTCCCTGGTGGCCTAGGGATTAAGTCTCAGCACCATCACAGCTATAGCCAGAGTTCAATCTCCCTCTAGGGAGCTAATCTGCATATGACACAGCAGACCTCTCCTGTGTCACCTGCTGCTCCCCTCAGCAGTGTAGTTCAGGTTCTGCTCCCCACTCTGTCTTTGGTGATTCCTCTTGTCCCCTGCACCTCTGGCCTAGAAGAACCCAGTTCTTCTAATACACACACACACACACACATACACACAAGAAGAAAGAAGTCAGCTGGAGAAAGACAAACATTATGATTTTACTCATAGGTGGTAAAGAAGCAAAACAAATGAACAGACACAAAACAAACTCTTAGACTACAAGAATAAAATAGTGGGTGCCAGAGGGAAGGGTGAATTAGTATGGGTACACTGACTAAAAGTGTTAAGTTTCATGGTGATGAATGCAAGCTAGATTTTTCTCCCTTTATTGTGATGACATTGGTTAACAACACATTATATGACTTAGGGGGTCTAGGAGGTGTGAACTCTTTTGCACCCTTGATGTCAGCAGCAGCATTATCTAGACAAATAACACTGAATGCCTGGTGTGTGATTTAATTACCTAATTAAATCTTGGTATATTAAATCTTTAGGTTAATTGGGATGCTTTAAAAAACTGTAATTCCATAATGGCTCGTAAATGCCACACCTAAGATTTATTAGAAAAACTTATTTGGGAATTAAAATTCTTTCTATGAAGTGAAGAATAATGAAATCAATATTGACAATACTCACATGAATAAGAGGAGAAATTCTTTTGCATGGACCACACCATTTTGCTGAAAATTCAACAACCACAAGTTTGTTTCCAGCAGCTTTTAGAAATGCTTTGAGTTCATCCTGAGGCCAGAAGATAAATGAGGAAATCTCATTAAACCTTGCAGTAAAATGCCAGTTTTGTTTTGAAAGTCTCCATTTGGTACCTACCCCACACTTCTCCAAACTTCCCCCAATGTTCTTGAGGTTTTGGTTTCTCTTACTAAAACTCCAGAGCACAGTAGTGACACTTGTTTGCTTTATGAACAGTGTCCTTCATTAGTTATTTCATGCATGGCTAACTTCCCCCCAAAAGTCCCTACAGAATTTGGTTCTAATTCATTCCTGTGCCTCTATAGCCTCTAAGTGGCCCATGGGAAATGCTCAAGGAGTGTCTAGCTGATGAACTAATGACTTGCCAAGATATAGTATTCTGTTCAAAATTTAATTTTCTTTTCTCAGTAGAATTACAACAATGGTAGCTCATTTAGTCTGTTACTGGGATTCTCTAGTCTATAAATACACTGTGGAGTGGGTATTCTTATGATGATCTTCATTTTACAGATTAAAAAATTAAAGATTGTTCACTTTTTCATGGTCAACTAGCTGATTGGTGTAGGTGGGACTCCTAACCTAGGCAGCCTGCCTCCAGAGTCCATTTATTCATCTCCTCAACCACTACATGAAATCATGAGAGACTCCTAATTGGATTTAGTCAAGCCGGACCTACCCCTGAAGTTAGGGATGATGTAATTCCATACAAATGGCGTACCTAATTTAAAATAGGGAAGTTTTGACAGTTATGCTGATGACTAAATGAAGATACATTTTCTTCCTTTTCCAATATTCCTCTAAGACAAAGGGTAAATAATTTTTCAGAGAGCCAGGCCAAGGCCAACCCTCCATTTCTCACTTGTATCAGAAGTTATAAGGTTGATGTCTTACAATTCCCACAAGCTACCACACCTTTCACTTTTCAATAGTTGTTAGGGTCTATGTTAGCCTCATTGGACCTATGACCTTGATTGGATCCATGACCATGACCTTGATCCATGACCTAGGAGGGAAAAACCTAGTATGTATACTGATTCAACACTTACGCATTGAAGTCTACCATATGACATGTACTAGACATGCTGCTAGCATAAAGCTGTGGGCAGAAAATAACAACAAAAAAGATCTTCATGGGCCATACATTTAGATGGGAAAGCTGTATGTTAGTGCTCATTGCTAACAAAGAGGAGAAAAGCAAAGGAGAAGGGAACCTGGCAGCTGAATTACAATAGCAGCTGAGGTAGTCAAGGTCCACCTCTACGAGGGGACATTTGAATGAAGATCTGCAGGTGACAGCAGGTCCTTGGAGACATTTCTGAGGAGGAGCTGGAAAGGGTTTCTCAGAAGATGAGTGAGAATTGTGAGGCTACTTCTCACAATTCTCAGAAAATTAAAATAGTGACCAAAAACATTAGAAAATGTGCACTATTTCAAACTACTTTGTTGTCACTGATGCCTTCTGTCAAATGGACCAGTCTTATTTTTGTGACTTTATGTGGAGCCACATTTGGAGAAAATGTGAAAAGTCTAAATCTGAGAGAGCTGATAGATAGAAGGTCCAGACTCTGTGCTCTTCCCCTTCTCCACTCCTGGCCTCCCATGACGAGGCCTGGCAGCAGAGTGTGGTTTTAGCAAGTCATCTAAGGAACTTTTGATACTATTGGTCATTGTTTTCCTTACTTCAATCCCAAGGCATGTCTGGAGTTTCTGTTTTCGTTCCTAGGATAAGAGAAATATTTGGGCTCTTATTTCCATCGAATTTTCCAGGGACATCTAAGATAGAATCAGTGGAGTCAGGTATAGTTGAGATATCTGAGGAGTTGGACTGAATCCAGCCACAATCAGAACGAGAAATAAGGATCATTTCTAGGAACAAGAAGGAGGATCAAGACTTACCCTTTCGATGGTATCTTCCCTCAGAGGCAACACAAAAAGCAAGAATTAAAAATTTCCCTTACTACAGAGCAGTGAGGAAGCACTGGATAGGGAAAATTATTACAAAAGGTATCAGACCTGTTCTCAAAATGTTCCCTTGAAAAATACCAATGAAGACAAATTAGTACTTGCCATATTTTCAATAATCTTCATCATGATTTACCCCAGGAGCTGCTGATGACACTCCAGTTGGTTAGTTGGCTCACTGGAGCTATACCTTATTAATTTAAGATCCTAGCTGGAATATAAGGTGAAGTTCTCTGTGACATCATTAAACATCTCAGAATCTAGAATTTGACAGAGTGGGTCTAACTTCAGTTTGGACCATGGCCTGTTAAGGGGTTGCAGTTAACAGTCAGCCCACTGCAATCTGTGGGTGCAAAATCAATAATTTAGTTCTGGGGCCTCCCTGGTGGTGCAGGGGTTAAGTCTCAGCACCATGAAGTTATCACCAGCCACTGCAGCATGAGTTCGATCCCCCACCAGGGAGCTGACCCACATGGCACAGCAGACCTCTCCTGTCTCATCTGCTGCTCCTCTCAGCACTGTATTTCAGTGGATCTGCCTGTTCTGCTCCCCACTTTGTTTCTGGTGAATCCTGTCACCCCCACCCCTCTGGCCTAGATCCCAGCTCTTGTATGCAGAAATAAAAATAAATCTTAAAAAAAAAAGAGTTTTGTTTAATCTGTCTACTTCTGATTTTTATCATAGTTTCCAAGCCTCCCTCTACTTCCTGAAATGCACAAGCACCATATGGAAAGTCAACAGGTCCTATTAAGTAGAAGAAAGATACCTTCACGTAGAATTAAGAAGAGATTACTTTTTTGTTGAGGAAAATATTAATGTCTTAACCTAGATTACAGGTTTCACATAAATCTGGTTTACTGAATCAGAAATTCCCTTGAACTTTGTTATTCTGCCCCATTTTTTTAGGAAGTAAAGAAACAACTTTTATGTATAAAACAACTTTTTCTGTATAAAAGGTGACATCTTAGGCTTTTGGGGACACATGCAGTTTTAAGAAAAGTACTTTTGAGAAAGTAAAGGCCACTCTTAGGTGATGGAACTTAACAAAAATAGTGGTAGTTTGCCAAACCCTACACACGATTAGCATTTTTCAGACTTCATGCTCAGAAAAAGTTCTAGACATGGTCATTTAGGACAACAAAAATAACAGAAAGTGGGAAAGAACAGAATTCTATAGTTGGATAAAAAACAGCAAAATCCTTTTTAGTTTTTCCAAACACAGTAATGAGCTGCCTGCCTTTCCTTTTGTATTTAGCAGCTAATGCATGAAGTACATTATTTCTTGTCAGAACCATGAACCAGGTTGGTTTTGTAGCAGGTATCTGTCAAGCGCTCCCAGTACCTATTTCTTCTGCCACCAAAAACATACAGATTTTTTTTCTGTGAGCAAATATATTTGTCTTCCATTTTGCAGTAGCTATGTCATTTGTATGAGATTAAACTAGCTTTAAATCCAGGGTTAGACCTCATTATCTTAATCCAACCAGCAAGTCTATATTAAATATTATAATTAATGAAGAGATCAAGAAAGCAATTCGTAGCACTCAAGACAGAGTTACATCATCCGGATATAAACTAGAAACTGGCAGGCAGCTAGTATAAGACACATGGGTAGCCCAGAAGCCCAGTCCTTGTTTGGGGTCAATATTTTAAAAGTACTGGGCAAGAACTATGACCTAATGCCGTTATTGGTATTTTATAAAAAAATAGAGAAAAATCTAAATTTAGGAGAGGGGAATTTTGTTTCTGTAATATCCATTAACCAACTGGCATTTCAGTAATCTAAATTTGCTCCCAAGTCTATTAACTGCCTAATATATATCAAGGGAGAACAAGGAAGGAAAATGAGTTTTGGACTCTCACAAGTATTATTCTCCCATTTCATAGCGCTCCTCTTGCAAGATCTGGAGCACTGTATCATATAAGCTTCTATTTCCTGATCTGTGAACTGGGGATCATACCTCCTAGGGAGATAGTGAGAATAAACAGGTGAAGTCTCATCAAGTGTGCACAATTCCAGGTACAAGTTGTTCTGACTTTTCAAATTCATGTTTCAGAACAGGCATTTGTACCACTTAGAGAATGGAAAGCAAATAGCAGTTCATTGTTCAGAGTTGCCAGAACACGAGATGGAAAAGCAGCACAGAATGAGCTGTCCACAGCCTTTGCAGGCATGTTCTGTTCAGCAGACACAAGTTCAGTTTTGCCCCAAGCAAGCTCACTGCAAGCAGCTTTGCTACAAACATTTCTACCACATAACTAAGGCCATAAGGTAATTTTGCTACAAAAAAAGAAAAGCACAAAAAGTGAAAGTAGCACACTCAAAGGACACTACGAAACTTGAAAAGTTAACAAAATACAAAACCATCCAATACGACTATATTGCAAAAACTAGTTTTTGAATATGTTTGCGATGCAGAGAATGGATTTTCTTTTGTGAATTGTCCCTAAGCACTCGTCTCCAAAGTGTTTTTTCATTACACATTTCAAATTGTTTTTCAATGATCCATCTCACTGGAAGTGTGAAATCGACGGCATCAAGCCAGATAAACGAAGCCAAATTGTAAACAGTTCTTTCATCTTTTATAGCAAATTTCCTTACAGCCCGTCAGTTATGCAGCAAAAATGCATTTTGTGCAGAACTTGAGGCAAAACTACCTTCAACTGATCATATTATACAATTGGGACACCTATACTGTGATGTTTTTAGAAATAAATAAAGCTTCTATCTCACTTTTAAAAAGCCCTACGATTTGGCAACCCTGGGTCTTCAGTCCTGTGCTAGGATACTGCAGATGGGGAATCTTGCAATTTGAGGCAAGTTAACCCTTGTCCCCACCATCTTCAGAAATTTGAGATGGATGGACAAGGTACACTTTTAGTTGGGTGTGTAACTATTTTTCTTCTATGACTACCACAAGAATTTGAATTATTCCTAGTATCTTCACACAGTGTACACTTCATTCCTTTTCTCTTTACCCCTAGGGTGCAATATTAATATTACATGCCCGGCTTCTATTGGCATTTGAGTTTGAGACCCCTCATTCTGATCCTTCTTCCATCATGCTAGGAACTCCATGTTTGGTCATCAGTGGGTGGTCCTATCAGTCCCCCCCCCCTTTTTTTTGAAAAAGGGAAGAAGGATGATGATAAATATTGAACATCTTCCAAGCCTCCAGTGGCAAGCATTGTCTTGCAGGGTGAGCACAGTTAGGTACCATTTTCATTTGTGTTTTCTTGCAAGTACCCAGTTAACGAAGGTGA